ATAACTATGTGGAAGCCATGTCTTTCATGCAGTGGTGTAGGATTTCTTACATCACCAGTTTGCAAGTACCCTCTTGTTTCTTTACTTTTTTACAATTTAATCCTACTACTTTTCCATTTTTAATGTTTTTTATTTACTTGTTTCCATTCTTTTTTCTTAAATTGATAAATTACATTCTGTTTTCAGTGTTTTGATTATGTGGTTAGGTTAATCATATTCATGCGAATCACGTGCGCATAAATTAAAATGGCGTCAAACCACAAACCCACGCGGTGCTCCAGCTGGAATTTGTCTTCCATTGTTCTAATGTTCTCTGTCTTTGCTTCTTTTTGAAGCCACATGTCCAGTCCTTGACTCAAGCACAAAGGAATGATGTAAAAGCCAACTCGAGCGGTTCCCTGGCTTAAAAGATTTCTGTGTTGATAGAAGAAGATGAAAGAAGAAGAAGAAAAAGTCTGAAGAATTTTGTAGAAATTTGAATTTGGGCCTATTCTCCAGAAATGCTCCCGCTACAGTGCAGTCCACTTTAAAGGTACCAGGAGAATCGCTCAGTGAAGGAGAGCTCATCTAAGCCATTTATAAGGCTGTACAACGTAAGATAAAAGAGTTATAAGTGTTTGAAAATCATAAAAACGGCCGCCATCTTGAAAAATCAACCTCAATCCTACATATAGGCTACCGCCTATATAATACGTGTAATGTACATGTACATTGTATTCTCATGCTGTGTAAAATGTTTAAGCTAATTCTCATCACTAAATTTTGGAGCTACGTGTGTACATGTACACATGTCAACAGTGAAAAATGTGCCAAATTTCGAAAACAAGAATTTAAGATAAAAGCAGCAAAAATTTATTAATAATTATAATTTTTATTCTTCCACATGGTTACAGGGTAAACACGTTAAAAATGAAAGTGACTTTGGCTGTTTACAAAAATATTAGGTCACACACATAAATTTAAACTATACAGTATTTATTAAAAGACACATTAATATTCTTACTCAGGAGGTAGCATAGCTTTCATCATCACAACTTCCTTTCTCACCACACCTCCTCTCACTCCACCCACTCCTCATCCTTACCTACACAACATCACATGACTATCATCAAAAGTCACATGATCTCTCACTTGTATGGTCACGAGGGGATCTTGAGGGACGAGGGAGAGGTTGGCCGTCACATGTGGTCTCCTGGTTCTTCAATACAAGAGATACTAGAGGACCAATACTGTTCCTTTCCGGAGGATGTCAGCTCTCATTCATTTAATTAAGAGGAGAACATCAAAGAGAAGATAATGAAGAGACTCAAACCTTCCTAACATATAGCAGAGACTATAATAGAAAGAGAGGGAGGGAGAGATATACATAGAGAAAGGAAAGAAGGAAAGGAATAGAATGAGGGGGAGGAGGGAAAAGGAGGGAAGAAAAATAGAAAGAAGAAAGGGAAGAAAGAAAAGAAACAAGTAAAGAAATGAGAAAATGGAGAGAAAATACATATGTACATGGTGATAGGAAATGTTTCCTGTTTTTCTATCACTTTTCCTTCAAATTGTGTGTGCCACTGCTTAGGTACAGTTTTCATGGATTAGTAAAGTGTACGAATCAAGTTAGCAAATTAATAAGTTAACTACAATGAAGCAGCTAAAAGCAAAAAAAAACAAAAAACATGCAGTACATGTACATGTATCATTAACTGAAAATGACTATAAATACACATGTACATGTACAAGTATCAATTAATGGACAATGTTATGAAGACAAATTGAGGTAATACTGTCCATGCAGTATAGCTAATAGGAGGAGCACATGAAATAAAAGCTGATTAGAAATCCCTCCCTCCCTCTCTCTCTCTCACTCTCTGATGTCCTTATGAGCCAAAAAGCAAAACTAAAACAATTTTCGTCAATTTATAAAATTTAATACCCGACAGATAAGTACATGTATGCATGGAGAGAGATATACATGTACATATGGTAGAGAGTGGATACAATATTCACCTTGCAAATATTTTACATAGTTTATCCAGTTTGATCACATTATTAGGTAGACATGTTAACTCATTGTACTGGACCTATAATAACAATAACACACAACATGTAAACATAATTATAAGTCTTTATACAAAAATAAACAAACTAAACTATAAACAAATCTACAACATTCAAGGGAGTTCTCTCAAACCATGCAGTATACCATGCTATTACAATTTAATTCATACATACATGTACACTAAACATGTATTATAATGATATTAAAAATCTTATATTTTCATTCTCACCTCAAGCGCTGACAATGAATTAAAGTTTTCAATATCTTCAGATATTTCTTTGATTTCGTTAGATGATAGATCCAGTTTAGTCACTTCAACCTGGTCCCACCATCTCTCATCAACATCAAATGAAGCAGTACTACCATCAGGAGGATCAATATTGAGTCTCCACAATTTAGGAGGAATAACACTAATGCCCCTGTAATTATACACATTCACCCACTAACTTTCATACATCCGCATGTTCATTAATGCGTCATAAAAATGAAAATCAAAAAAAAATCATTTGGTAATTTTTGGTGAATTAAAAAAACATGCTACAAGTCTCACACAGCCTCCTACCGGCTGTTTGACAGGTTCAGTGAACCGGTTTTACGAACTTGTTTCAATAAGGACTCTGGTACACTCCCCTCCTTACCTACCCCATCACTTTGACTAGGAGAATTAAAGAAGTTGGGATTTGGTTTGAGTCTAGTAGAACCAGCAGGAGATTTTCTCCTGGCACCACGACTGGAACTCATTTTATGAATTTTGGATAAATGGGTGTGGTCTTATGTTGCATAGTTTGGGCATAGATATTATAGACTACGTAACCGGGATTGGAAACTAGGTCACGTGATCCATTCAAACCAGTACAAACCGGCTGACACAGGGTCAGTGATTGGATTTTGGTGGGTGTGGTCAAAAAATGGCTACTTATCGACGACATTCAAAGGAAGACTGTATTTAAACCAATGTTGATATTTTGTTATTTTAATAATATTTTAATACTTTAGTGTTTGTGTAACATGACTATAATGAAAAAAATAATGATACCATTGTTATTTTGCAAATATACTGTGATATTGTTCAAATTTCTGTTGCTTGCAAATTTTCAAAACTTTTTGTACCTGTTGCTCCATTACACGGGTAAAAATAGACTAACAAGATCATTGGAAATGTTGCCACAATCATTGTGCATGGAACTGTCATAGTTTCATTTACTGATTTGCTATGTGAGAGGAGTAATATCTGAAATACTGTTTCTGCGAACAGTCCACTGTCGTACCTGTTACAGCTTTTAAAAAACAAGCAGAGGTTTCTCCTTTTGGGTGATGATAGGTTGATATTGTGTGCATGGAATTGGGGGGTTAGCATTTTAATTCATGCATTGTATTTGACTACAGTACTGCTTTAAAACCAAAAATTCATTATTTCCGCATGAAAAGCAAGCCACATTGTCAAATTTATTCTATTTAACGCCCAATTCAATCACGGACGTTGTCCACCAGGGAATCCTAGTTTCCAATCCCGCAACAGGAAAATGCTAGTTGATAGTACCGTAAATAATTTCTCTAAATACTCGTATGTAAAATTAAAAATGGCTGAAAGTTGAAGCAGGTAAGCAAGCTTCTCAGGTGGTTTATTGTTGCATAAAGTCTTATTTTGTGCAGGTAACCCTTCAATAATGTTTAGAGACATTCTTCCTGTTTGCCCAAGCTGTCTGCTGTAGCAATGTATCTGCTTGCAGTTTAAATTCAGTGTTTTATGAATTAGCAATCATTATTGATCACATTTACTATATTTAGTTCTATTTTTTGTTTTGTACAACCTATTGAATAGAAATTGTGTTGGCAACCTCCGGTGTGTTCTAAGCAATACAATGGTGTGATAGCTAATGTCACAGACCCTTTGGTTTTTATGTTAAGGGTACAAAACAAACCTCTCAAACTAATCAGTAGATCTATTGTTACAGAAAGATGCTACCGTATTTCCAAACGAAACATAGTGGGCGACCTCCACATTATGAATCTCTATTGAGTGGTTGAATAAGTTATTGTTTTCTGTCTAACACTACTGAGATAAGGGTACAAAACAAAATGTCATTCTAAGCATTCTCATTCCAAAGCAAATATTCAGTGTAAATGATGATGCTAGCAACATAAAAATTAGACGGTCTGGGGATAGATGCCGGTCTCCTCTGCTTCCTTTGATATAAATAATGACGTATATCTAGTGACACCACTGCTGGAATGACAGGTCTCAAAAAGACAGCTCTTGCTCAAAGACAGCCTCCGTTGCTAGGCGTTGCCAGATGCAAATGCCAAAATACAGCCAAATGTCAACTAGCATCCGTATCCTAGCGATGTATACGGAGATGCCCCGTTTCCAATCCCTCTAGCTCTGTACTCTATTATCTATGGTTTGGGTGGGGCTGGTATTTTGCAAGAATGGCATCTAAAAGTGAGGGCCACTATTCTCTTCTCTTTGTATCTCTTTGATTCATTCTTTGTCTCTCTTACTCTCTCACTTACTTTACTCCACTGTATCCTGTCCTTATTCTAACTCATCACAATATTACTGTTACTCTGTTACTGGTACCTCTTGTTCTCTATAGACTATCAACCAGTGGAGAGACAAAGACACTCCACAGTAAAGGTAGGAGACTACCTATATATGTGGGGTGGGGTCGGGTCTGGAGTAGACTATGATGTGATGGAGGTGTACCACTTACCAACTGGAGCTTGGGACCAGAAACCTACTACTGGTACCCCACCACCAGGTACCTGGGGCTATTCATCTGTCGCCATAGGAAAGGACATATATTATTTTGGTGGAGCTAGTGGTGGTGGTTATCAAAACAGCTTACATTGTTTCAATGTGGATTCATTCAAGTGGAGGGAACTCTCTCCTTCTACTTCTGATTATGGTCCAATGAAGAAGGGCTACTGTGGAATGATATCAGCTAGTTTTGATGGTGAAGACTATCTTATAATAATTGGAGGAGATAGATCATCTTCTATCAATACTCCAAAACAACCTGATGCTCAGTATTCAGCTAGTGGTAGATGTAATGAAATACATTATTACAGGATTTCATCAGGTCAGTAATTCTCATCATTGATACACAATAGTTGATCAGTATTTGAAACTGAATAATTTATATTAATGTACATAAAACAGATTGTTAATAATTAAGTGTGTTTGTTAGTGTGTCTCTGTGTGTCATGTGTTTGTGTGTGATGGTGACGTGTGTCTATATGTGACGTGTGTGTGTGTACTATTACATACATTATGATGTGTCTGTGTATGATAGTGCATATAATGTATGTGAGAATTTATGAATGTATGACGTGTGTATGTGACGTGTATCTATAATGTGCATGTTATGTGTGTGTGAGTATTATCATGTATCTGTGTGTGTGATGTTTGTATATGTACATGTACATGTATCTATACATAAGCTAATGTGACATGAGTGTGTGTGTGTGTGTAGGTTCATTGAGTCACAAATTAGCCACATACAATGTTCCTTGAGTTTTGTATAATTATTCATTAACAATCATAACTGACATGTACCAGAATAGATTAGTAATTGGGGCGAGCCTGAGCTCGCCCCACTCTAGCTATACTCTCAGTCACGCCCCGTCTGTCTGTCCTCGTACGTCACCCCTATTTATGCGTAGATCTAATACGGTAGATAGATATGCATTACCAATGCAATTTTCAATTTTTCATTAAAAGTGGGAGCGGTCACAGTAAAATAAAAATGGCAACCAACACACTGGAAGAATCATGAGCTTTCTAGCAGCAATATAAGGCAGATACACTGTCCAAAGACTTCTCTAGCAGCTATAGAAGGTTTTAAATTCAATTAATAACCTATGAAGCTCGTTTTATTGATGCAATTGCTATTAAAACTGTGAAAGTCAATCAAGCTTTTTCTCAGTCATTATTGTTTTATTTTATTATTATTTTCTCAGTTAATATTGGATAATATTATATCTAAAGTCAAGTAAAGGATTTTTACAGACATTTTTAGGCAAGAAATGTGTATGTGAAACTAGAAGACTAAAAGTTAAATAAAATAAATGATATAAAGTGATTTTATCAGCAGCATTAAACTTTATCATGTAAATCATGCTTGCTATGCCTAAATCATGATGCATGCTTTGAAATCATCGGGAGTAGATTACAGATGGATAGATCCAGTGCCATATAATTGCTTTGCTAGCTTAGGCTCGCCCCTTAATGTTCTACATTCTTCTAGTATTGAAATAAGGAGAGCCCCTGGACCTCTCCTTCATGTGTACAGGTGTGGTGTGTGTGATGGTGTGTGTATCCATACATGAGTGTATCTGTGTGTGTGTGTGTGTGTATCATGTGATAGTGATGTGTGTCTATGCATGATGTGTATGTATAAATAATAATGTACACACATATACACATACATATGTATGATGAATGTGTATAATGTATGTGTGTGTATGTGGTAAGTAAGTGTACATGAATGTTTGTACATTATTATTAGATCAATGGATATCTCCTGTTGTTACTGGAGACAGGCCACCTCCTATTAATGACTTCACTCTAACACCAGTTACTAATAACACTGCAGAAATGTTCGGAGGTGCTACTGATAATGGATGGAGTAATAAACTGTATATGATAAGTTTCACTAAGACATCAGTGGTGAGTTAATACTGTAGGATGGGTTTTGATTGTGGGATTTATTTGATTGCAAATTGTGGATTTACAATTAAAGTTTAATTTATTATTCTCTCAGGATATATTAGAAGTACCTAATCCTAGAGGATCAGTACAATGGCCTAAGGGAAGAGGTGCTCATTCCAGTGTACTTATTACCACTAGTTCAGGACCACACTTACTAGTGTTGGGTGGATTTTTTGCCTTTGATGTATGGTTACTGGACATTATCAAAAGAAAATGGAAAGAACTGGTAAGTATTATATTATGATGCTTGATAATGAAACATAAAGTGATTAACTAAATTTGTAACTCATGAGGTTTGTAATGTACATGTACATATTATGATACTCAGTGAAAACTACTGATGAATAATGCTCAGTGGTATTCAGTATGTGGGTATGTGTGTGTGTTTTTAGTGTGAATGTGTGTTTGTGTCTTTTTGTGTTTTGTGTTTGTTTCTTTACCTAAACATGTGTGAATATACATGTGTCTGTGTGTCTGTGTGTGTGTAAAGATGATTGACAATTGATAGAGTGTCAATGCTGGAATTAAAATAAATTGTATTTTATATACATTGTGTACATTGTGTATGTACATACATGTATTTGTGTGTATGTGTGCATATGTTTTAATATGTGTATGTGTGTACTAACACGTACATCATGTGTACATGTAACATGTACATGTGTGTGTATGTGTGTGAGCAATTATGCATGCTTTACATGTAGCTTTATATGTGTATGCATGTATAGATGTAGATGTATGTGTGTTAGTGTGTCATTAGTATGTGTATGTGTATGTGTGTACATGCAGACACTTAGTAAGTTCTTAATTGAGGACTCGCATGATATAATAACAGACTCAGTTGTGTATACTTGTCTATTAATATATTGTGTATTATTAATTTTATTATGTGATCTTTGTGTTACATAAAACACACTGTGCAGACTATAAAACTGTGAGTTAGTTATTGTGTTTATTAACCAGATATCAAATTAATTAACACGTCATACACAAATTAATTATTATCATTTTAATTTTATAGATTAATCTACCAGTCAATGTCATTAACAGAAACAGGCATTCTCTCTCAGTGTGGAGTGTGACCCCAACTACTAACTGGATAATTGAGTTTGGAGGAGGTACATCATACACTGATACAGCAGTTATTGAACTCAGTAAGTACATGTAGACAGTAGTAGATACAATGTGTATTGAATATGTAATGATAATTAGTAATGATAATATTACAATAAAATAAGTAATTTTTATGATGAATATTTAATGAGAGCATTTGACGTATACCTATAATACTAATTATTACCAATTCATTCCTGCTATGTACAATAGTGAAATATAATGACTGCAGATACAGAAACACTGATATTAATAGGAGCTAGAGTGAATGAAATATTATTATGAGTGTATTTATATACAATAATATGTTCACGTGGTTAACTGTGTAAACTGACAGAGGTCACACATGCAATGATTAAACATGAATCCATCAATAATAAGGTTACAATAGTAACTAAGTGCAATTAATTTGTGTATTTCTTATTCTCCACTATTTTGTTACTGTATAGGATATACTAGTGATAATGATTGGTCTACTAGTGTAATACCTCTGGGCCAGTATCAAGATCAACTAAGAAGAAGAAAGATACTGAGTGATTGTGAGAATTTAGGATTAAGCAAAGAGGTTCAATTACTCAGAGGACACCTACAAGAAAGAGAGAGAGAATTCTATCAAGAAAAGGCAACACTTACTCAGCAACTTGTTGATGCTACCACTCGTCTTGAGCAAGCAGAAAAGGATAAATCAAGTCTTGATTTAGGTACTATTGTGTTGTACTGTTGTTTATGTGTACATTGTTTACATTATAATACTAGTGGATTAGATAATTTTGAGTATGGAAATAGTATCCTGTACTCAATATAGGTCAAATTGTCCATGCATTAGAAATAATGAGATTGATGTAGAGTGAGCTCTGCTTATCATATATGGTATGATTAGCAATAATCATAGTACATGTATTTATGGGCTACTGTACATGCAGTGCAAATTTGGTTAAGGAACAAACACAAATATTATTTTATTTTCAATTTTTGTATTTTTATTGATAACAGAATATAATGAGAAGCTTAAAGCTAAAGTTGCTGATATTGAAGAAAAGAAACAGTTTATTACTGGTTAGTGTATCATCAGATGAGAGAATATTCTATTAATGTAGAAGATTATGAGAAACTTAAACTCAAAGTTGCTGAACTATTGGAAGAGAAGGAGGAACAATATCTCAAGGAGAAACAGATCATTATTGGTTAGTTAACTATACACACAGCATGTATTAGATGAGAGAATATGTTTATTGTGTAGACAACAATCAAAATCTCATTTCTGAGAAAGACAAAGTTATAGCCAAACTGACATCAAATGAGAAACAGATCATTACTGGTTAGTGTATCATCATCAATCAGTAATAATTATTAATATTCTATTAATTTATAGACCTTAAAGAAAAGGAGTTGTACATAGCCAAACTAGTGAAGGAAAGACAAGAGAGGGTCCTCAAGCAACCTATCAAAGAGACTAGTTCCATTGGACTACAATTTAATTACCTGATCCCTTCAATGGGTAAATTATTCATGTACATGTACACATGTGAATGATTGTGTGTGTACTATACTGGTATTAGATATGATGTGTGTGTATTGTTTCAGATTCACTAGACTCTAGTGTCATTATAGCTGGACAGAAGCTCTTTATCCTACAAGGAGACAGGTCTGACTCACTCCAGTGGGAGAAATATGGATTCAGATTAGAGTGTCCTCAAGGAGCAGTGTCCAAGGATACTGAAGTAGCTGTTACTGCACTAGCTGGTGGTAATTTCAAGGTACCCAAAGGTACTGTGCTAGTGAGTGCAGTATATGCAATATCAGTATCTAAGGGACTATTAAAACCACTGGTAATAGAGCTACAACATTGTGTGGATCTAAGGAAGACTAGTCAGACTGGTTGCCTCAAGTTTGTGAGAGCTCCACTGAAGTGTCCTTACCATTTCAGTATAGTTGAAGGAGGATGTTTTAGAGTTGGGAAAAGATACGGATCAATAAAGCGTGAGCAGTTCAGTTGTATGGGTATTGTAGCTGAGATGAGTAATGGAGACACACCTAGTGACAGTGAGAGTGAGGAAGGTTATGAGACACCACCTGAAGGTACATGCATGTACGATGGAAATAGTGTTTTATTATTAATAATGTACAATAATAGGATCAACTGATGACACACATAATGATAGTGGTAATAGAGCAGGAGAGACTAGTGAGAGAACAGCCTCACCAATAAATACTGGACTATCTCAAGGTATGTGTGACTGTAATTGTGTTGTATAAAGTTTCATTTTCATAATAGAATCA